GCTTGTTGGAAATAATCGAACGCGTACTCACCTGTAAGAAAACCTTATACCAAATCGCTAGCGCTGGAAAGTCTTGCCGAACCTTGGTATTGCTTGAAGAAAAACAAGCTCATAACCCTTTTTGAATGAGAGCCTTGCAGATGCGAAGTTGATTCGTGTTGATTTTAAAATTAGCAGGGAGTTATAAAATTGAAAAATTTGCATACTAAAATGGACTATTTTACGGAAACCTTTCAAAAATTCGAACTAGTTTTGTTAAATTTTATTTGGTTGTTTCACCTACCCTCCTTTCCTAAAAATCAGGATTACAGGCCAGCAAAAATTTGAAAATCACGCGAAAAATTTTTTTGAAAATCATCAAGCATACCAATTACAGATTATACAAGGTTGAAGTAAAGTCCTTGAACAATTTTTAATGTGATTTTATGTTAAGATTTTCCTCATATTTTTGTATGCTAATTATATTTGTTTGCTTCTTATCCTCTTAAGTACAAGCCCTCCAAAACTGGACTAGGTTTATTCCTATTGGAGATAGGCTTTCTGGAACAGAGCGAGCGTTGGTGGCCAAGAGCAAGGAGAGAATAGCTAACCAGCAGGTTTCGCGTCTCCCCAAACTTCACAAATCAGCGTCTTTTCCACCTTGCTCGTTTCAGATATGAATAGCACCCAGGACTGTTGTAGGAAGGTAGCGGACACTGACAAAAATCTGAAGATCGTTAGTTAACGTCATCGTCGATCCTTAACAAAGCTCAATTGAGCTGGCTTCAGAGCTGTCCATCTCCGACAGAACAGTCTCCGACATCGTAGAAGTGGGCCTTCGAATGAAGCTATTCGGGGACAAAAATTCATGCTTTTTGGGAAGACGCAAAGCTGTTGACTGCGCAGTTGCCATCGACTGCTTAAATGTCTCCCGAAAGCACGCCACAAACCGATAATCTTTTCTTTTCTAGCGTCAAATTTTTTAACGTCAAGGATGTTTTTGACCCCCCACAATGGTCGGCCGCCTCATCGTGGCGTGGGGGTGACACTGGATGTCGAACTGCGATGCACAGCCGAGTGTATACTCTGGCAGGGCCTTCCAAGCTGTGAAGGAGTTCGACGTTTCCGATTTCGGCCGGATGCCTAGCTAAGAGCCGCCAGGCCAGATCCTCCGCCGTCTGGTTTTCAGGTCGCTAGGCGGTTCTCCCCGCTCCAAGCCCGGGGTCAGCGATCGCCCCGTGGAAATCAAGAGTTGGCCTAGTAAGTCTGCTCTTGTAGGGGAAAAATTTCATTACTCTACAAGTTAGAAGAATAGAAAGAAACCCTGTACATCGGATTCCGCCTACGGCGCCGGGTGGTAGCAAGACTGATGTCAGGGTCCTCAGGGCGCCTTTTGGATTGGACAAAAACGACGCCACAGAGACTGCCTCATGCTCTGTGGCGTGTCGTCCTACCTACAACGCCAGGACAGTCTCCACAAACGCCGACCTCCACGCTCTTCTCGACGCTGCAGAGCACATCAAGTACCACATCATCGCTCTGCAGGAAACGAAGTCCAGGAAGAAGGACGTGCGACAGGTAAGTGATGGGACCCTCATCATTCGTAGTGAAAAGGCTCCATCACGAAACGTGGGAGGTGTTGGCTTTGTCGTCCACCCATCTATCGTCCATCTTGTCGATTCGCACGAGATCCTATCACCCCGACTAGCCATCCTACGTCTACGCCCTCCACGTCAGAAGACCATCAGCATCATCAACTGCTACTCTCCAACATCAGCAGCTGACGACTCAGAACTAGATGCTTTCTACGAAGACGTGGAGGAGGTCGTCCGCAACGAAAAGTCCTTCTACAAGTATGTTGTGGGCGACTTCAATGCGAAAATCGGGATGCCATTAGAAAAGGAATATAGGATCGGGAAGTTTGGATATGGGCTCCGAAACGAAAACGGCAACCGTCTCGTTGGGCTTCTCTCCGCCGCACGACTCTTCCATGGAAATTCCATCTTCATGAAGAAAGAACATCGCCGGTGGACATGGGAATCGCCCAACGGAACGACTCACGCGGAGATCGACCACATTCTCACCAACCGAAGGTGGAGCTTGCTCGATGTCTCAGTAGTTCCATCCTTCTGCAGTGGCTCCGATCACCGCCTCCTTCGAGCGAAGGTACGACTCAGCCGAAGGCTGGAAAAGAAAGTCTGTCACAGTGCCGCGAGAAGGAAGGAAGTCGTTTACGACGGTAACAGGCTTGAGGAGCTCATATCAAGATGTGACTGGCCCATCGAGGAGGACCCAACGTACGACTACGACCGGCTTCTGAAAGGATTGCGAGCCTGCGGAGAATGTGCCTCAGTGACTTCTGAGAAGAACTTGGAACGTATTTCGAACACCACCAAGGAATTGCTCGAAAAGAAGATTTCTGAGGCAGGATCCGAATGCAACCCATCTCGAGCGACTGATAGCCAACGCCAGTTGCAGAACAGCTTTGCAGGAGGATCTCAGGAAGTACAGGCAAGCCAAGATACTGGAAGCAGCCGAAGAAAGACGAAATCTTAAGAAATGCCGACCTTTGTGAATATCACGTACCGCTGGCTGCACTATTGAACGAAGACGGGACTCCAACTTCTTCCCGATATAAGATGGAATATATCGCGAAGAACTTCTATACCAACCTCTTCCGCTCATCAACACCCGTGCCGATGCGCGTTGTTCCCACTGGAGAAGTACCACCACGAATTCTACCTGCTGAAGTGCGCACGGCGATTCAGACCATGAAGACATCCACGGCTCCAGGACCAGACCATCTTCCGTCGAATTTCTGCGAGCCGGAGGACAACGTCTACACGAGATTCTCGCATCGCACTGACATTTTACCTTCAGAAGGAGAGGATTCCCGACCGGTGGAGAAAGTCAAGTCCTTCTTTTTAAGAAGGGTGAACGGGAAGATCTTCGAAACTACCGTCCAGTATGCCTGCTGAGTGTACAAGCTCTTCACGAAGATTATCCTCGCACGCATATCTAGGACACTGGATGAAGCCCAACCCCAAGAACAAGCTGGATTTCGCAAAGGATTCAGCTGCATGGAACCACATCCAGACGGTTTCGAGGGTCATAGAAGTCTGCCGGGAGTATCAACTGCTTCTCGTCCTAACCTTCGTCGACTACGAGAAAGCCTTTGACAGCGTCGAAACTAACGCGCCATCCTGTCTGCGCTAGTCGATCAAGGAGTGGAACCAGCTTACGTGAGGACACTAGCCGACTGCTACAAGGACTGTACAACAACGATGCAGCTATTCCATCGCCCCCTAACCATTCCAATTGGGAAGGGGTTCGACAAGGCGACACTATTTCGCCGAAGCTGTTCACCGCGGCCTTGCAGTGGGTGATGAAGTCACTAGACTGGGAAGAGAGAGGCATACGAGTTGGTGAGAGATTCCTATCCAACCTTCGTTTTGCGGATAACATCGTCCTTTTCTCGAGCAGTATCACTGAAGCAGAGGCGATGCTGAAGGAACTGAACGAAGTAGGGAAGAAGATCGGATTGCGAATCAATCTGAAGAAGACTCAGTTCATGAAGAACGCTTTTTGCGAAGATGCAGAAATGGAATTGGAAGGCACCCCTATCACGGAAACGTCTTCTTGTATCTCGGACGTTCGATGAACATGGAGAACGACTTGAGGGAAGAACTTAGCAGGAGAAGAAGAGCAGTCTGAGCGCCTGCGGGCCTTTGAAGGAACCCATCGACGAGCTGATGGACCCGGAGCTTCGTGCCCACCTGTTCGACTCAACCGTTCTCCCAGCGCTCTGCTACGCAGCTGAGACTTGGGCCGACACCGTCGCCACTTCGAAATCTTTAAGGACCCCCACAGAGCGCTAGAGCGTAGTCTTCTGAAGATAACCCGACACAAACAACATCTCGTCGGACTTCGCAGTACGGATATGAGGAAAATGTCCCGTCTTCGTGACCCAGTGGAATACGTTGCGAAAGCGAAACACCGATGAGCCGGTCACATAATGAGAAGAACGGACGATAGATGGACACTAAGAACATCTGAGTGGATTCCTCGCGAAGCCAAACGTCCTCGAGGAAAACCACCGTCGAGATGAGCAGACGTGTTCGTGGAACGGATGGACCAGCTGAGAAATCAGCTGGATGCGATTCTTGCCCCTGGAACTCGTGGACGCAGCCACCGACGACGACCAAGAAGATCGTGGATGTCCGAAGCGAGGGACAGGGATCAATGGCGACTTCTGTACTGGGGCCCGCACGTCACGTGAGGACGGGCCATCTAAGTATCTAAGTAAGTAAGGTTTTTGACAGCCAAAACAACAGAATCATCATCTGAAGAAGCTAACTGCAAGAGTTCACTCGGAGAAGGAAAGCTTCATCTGGCTTCTGTGATTGTTTGCGCGGAAAACGCTTCCGACAACAAAATGCCACGATTTTGTGGGGTCCCATAGCATCAAGGTGAACATTGCCACGGAATAGAATCTCAAAGAAGGAGTTGCTGGCTCTGACTAATATCCACTTGCCGGGAGCGATTGGGGCCTACATCAGGATGCATCTGCGTACAAAGCGAAGGTTGTTCAAGTACGGCTCCAACGCAACATTAAGGACTTTATCACTTTCGCGGAATGGCCTCCGTATTGGTTGGATCTGAATCTAGGACTACAGCCTGTGGTCGGTTCTTTGAGCGAAAATTTGCGCTCACCTACGCAAGACTGTGGAGCCTCTGCATCGTTCTCTTCAAAATGCGTGGGAGGAAGTCGAGAGTTTGAGTTAGCATCCAATTGGGTTCGAATTGTAAGGTCAATTTGATGTAGCAAACAGTTGAGTGAAGTATTTGTTGATTTTATGTAATCATTCCTACCGCCGTCATTGAAATAAAAAATACCATGTTCAAAGACTTTCCCCCAATCCTGTACACAGCGATGCACGCATTGCAGGAGCATACAAAAAGACAAATCTTTGCATCAATATGTGACCCAGATTTCATCATAACATTTTATCAGAATTTACCTGGGAAAGCGTGGTGAATATAGAGGTAACTGTAGCAAAGTCGGTGAGATCACTGAAAATAATCTTTTTTTTGAATATGCATATTATTTAGTATCTTGTCCAATGCACCGATTTTGCATTCAAGATATAACGATTGCTTAGCATAGTTGTATACTGAAAATAGTAATGCGAATAAGCTAATGATTTCAGTATGTACCCGCACGCTCAAAATATGGATAGCTGGTAGATTCAACCGTGAATCGTTGCGTTGCCGACAATATCTTACTTTGCAACCTCACATTCTGCAAGTACACTGGAAAAAACTTTTTATAACTCTTTAAAGACATAAGAAAGATGGCAGAACACATTTGATTTTTCATTTGAAGCCCATCGTAACGTACGTCTTGTATGAGGAGGTTCAAAAATCCGGTCTTTCTGCTCTTCCCCGAAAAATTCAACACAGCCGATTTTCACTCGCTAAGTTACGAACGACTTAGCTTATGATAAGAGGCACTATAGTGTCTCACTCTCCAAAGTACCAATTTTTTTGCACACACTTTCGGTATGTGCAAAATTGGTAGTCTTCAAAGGCAAAATTTTATTGCTGCTTACATGCGATGTCTTCTCAACTATGCAACTCATCCGAAAAAAATTAACGTAATATTGTTGACATATTGTTGACACTTTCCAACCGTGCTTACATGAACCTGAGATAAATTGTACTTCAGGGAGGGGGGGGGGTTACATCTCAGAAAGAAATCTACTTTGAAGTTGATTGTATTAACGAGTAAACCGCATACTATGGACTTCAGCCCAAAAATAAAGCAAAAAGTTTACTTTTATGCGCCAAAAAGAAAAAATTGCTTAGGTTTTCGAATTGTTGTACCTCAAGGTTAATTCTACCTTTGCCAGAGTGAAGTACAAAAACGTACATCTGAGCACTCTTTGATGTTAAGCGGTGCATGATTATTGATTCATAGAAGATTATCTTTTACTGATTTATGTGGGCTGTGCATCCAGAAGGTCATTTTGACAAAAATCAGTTAAATGATCAGACTGTTCTGCAGCATGTACCAATCTTCTGTTCCGTGCTTCTTCTTTTAACAAATAATTGTTCAACCGGGAGAAGGCGCCCGACCCGTGATGTATGAAACTCGCGAACTCCCAACCCTAACGGGTAGCAGCATCCATGCGAGATCGGGTAGTGCTAATGCCTGTATATTTCTATCCTCATCTCTTCTGTATTGCCTTTTGTGTTTTTTTAAACTTTACTAAAGGATGTACGGAATCGAAAATGCAGGTTAATGAGTTTTTCTGAGCAGAACTACGTTAGTATAAAAATATGAATGTAGAAAAATCTAAAAGAAAATTTTTGAGGGAATTTCATATAAACAAGGTCAAGAGTGGGTTGTGGCCACCACATCTAAAGGTTGTGTGAGGAGTCAAAAAGGGGAGGTATAATAATTGTAATTGAGTAGTGCTTATAATACTCAAATTTGTCTCATATTTGCTTATTTGCATAAGCATGTCGAATAATTGCTGTGGACCAAGTTTGAGCGAATTTCGAAGTAATCAAAGCACTGCGTTACCTGATCAGAAGCCAACCAAATTCTTTGTCCCAATTTTCGCTTTTGATGGCGCTTTAATCCATTAACGACTTCTAATTTTGCGTGGCTGCGCTGAGGGACGACGCGATTTTGGACAACAATTCGGCTTGGGAAAGTTTTGTGATTATTTACGAAATGTAAAGTTGTTTTGTAAGCGATTATAATTATATTTTTGGACGACGAAGTTTACAGGATCCAACATTGCAAAAAATTGGAAAAATTACCGAACTGTGGATGTACTAGACCTAGAAAATATACGATCTTGCAAGGGCTGTGGGCCACCGGTGGTACACATCGTCGTCAACGGGTTAATTAACTATTACTCAGAGCAAATAGTAAGTCGAGCTCAAGTTACGTTCTTTTTCAACCCGAAATAGGCGAGCATTCCATATGGAGCAGCGCGTCCGCACCCTGGCTCAGCGAGATAGATTAGAATGAAGAGACGCAGACTGCAGAGCGGCGCGAATCGTTACGAAGCGGACTCCCGCCAGCCCAATTTTCGCCTAAACTGAGTTGAAACTTACTATAGTTTAGCATTTCTACAGGTTCTTTTAGAGGTAAATTAAGTAGGGTGTGGCACAACCTTTAAAAGGTGTGGCTGTTACACAATGTGTTACAAAAATAATTCTAGTGAAGATTTTTTACATGATTTGGTAATCTAAATCTTTCAGTTCTCAAAGGAATAATTTGAAATCGATTTTTCTTCTTTGCTTTGAGCAATTTTGTGGAAGCACAACCATTAAAAACGAAAAATAGAACAAACGAGATTTTATTTGGCTTCTAGTTCTGACCACAGTTCTTCTGGCCACAGTTTGGAATCTTTTCAAGCGGAATTCAAGGTGGGCAAAGAAGGAGTAGTGCTTTATATCGTGCGTAAAAAAAATAGTCAGTTCACCTCTAAAACAAAGTTAGTCATGTCCGAATTATTTCACTAAAGTGGCTGTAAGGAAACTTCAGGATTCGCTCAAACTTGGTCCACAGGGATTATTTGACATGCTAATTATGCATCTATTACTCGCTGTGATTAATAGGGTCTTTGGGTTGTGCATTTTAAAAGTATGCGATGGTGCAAAGAGTCTTAATGATACAGCAGTTAGGGGGTAGGGACGTATGCTGCGCTTTGCCACACGTCATTGACCTTGGATATAAACTTACTTTATGTCAATGTTGTTACATATATCGCAATTTGTGTAGTATGCTCCATTTTTCGTAGTATTCGCGACAACTGCTTTTATTCAACCGAGGCCCATCTTTCGCAGGTATTACGCTATGCCTGCTAAGGCTGTGGAAATAATGTCTGGTAAATTTCTGAAGCGCGGAGAGGCAACCATAACTTGAATGATCGAGAAGCAGTGTTCCGAAGGTTTAACAAGTTTATCAATGTAGATCTTATTAGCTGCTTAAAGTGCCACAATCGGTCATTTTGATAGAAAATGATGTGGCCTATAGACAGAGTAGGCTACACTCTATCTGTGATACTGCCGATTTTGATTGAACACCAGTAGCTGAACTTTGAAGGCAGTGTCCCGGCAAATTTTGCATTAACAATTTTTTACATGTTTTGGGCCTCCTCGACTCGTAGAACCGAATTTGAGCTTTGAAAAGAGTGAAAGGACATTCTTCGAGGCGTTTACCCAATTTCTAAAAAAAACCAGCTCGAATGAGAATTTTAACGGAAAGTTGGGAGGCCCTGGCACGAAGACCCTGCTGCCTGTAATTTTTGCTTCGCCGGGTCCCCCGCCGAACGGTAAGTCGTTCGAGCGCGCGCCTATTGGGGTTGCGCGCGCCAGTTCAGGGGTAATTTTCTCGGCCCACGGGGAACATCAACCACTCAGACAATCGCCGGGGGCAGGCGGGCACCGGAAAAGTAGATTGCTGATTTCTCGCACCCCGCTCGCGGATTTTTTGCAAAGCAATCAGGACTTTTCGGAAGACCGCTTGCTGAGTCAGCGGATTTTCGAGAGAGCGCCTGTTGAATTTTTTTCGCTCTTATCTTTTGCAGATATATTGCTGAATCTCTGAGGAATCGAGAGCTCAGCAAGCGGTCTTCCGAAAAGTCCTGATTGCTTTGCAAAAAATCCGCGAGCGGGGTGCGAGAAATCAGCAATCTATTTTTCCGGTGCCCGCCTGCCCCCGGCGATTGTCTGAGCAGCCGGACAGGGCTTGAAGGTTGGTGGGATGACCAGAACCCCACCATAGCAATATCCCCAAGGCGCAAATCTGCCGGGACACTGCCTCCAAGGTCAACTAAGCAACATTGGCCTATTTATTAATCTGCAAAACAAAGCTTAGTAGTTAGGCGTCTATGCAACAGATGTGAAACCGGCGCGAGAACAAATCCTTGCGCGAACTTGTTTCGTAAATCTAAAAGTTTAATGCAAAAAATGCTTCCAAGCTGAGGAAAAAAAGAAATCTAGAAAAACTGCGCAAATTATGTCTACGCGGAAAAAAACTAGAAAACTTGTGAACCGCACCACTTTCACTATGCGTCAGCAGTCGTACAGAAATTCAGAATACTTGCTGAAGAAAATGATTTCCACTGCTCGGGCTTTTGCCCAAGTAACATTCCAGAATGCACCCTAAGCGAGGGCGCCCGTGCCCTTTCGGGTAACAACCATAACAGGAGCCCTTATCGAAGGAAAAAATACATACGACTAGCTACAAATGTTGTCCAAACATGTTTTGCTGAAATCAGTGTGACGCTCCTAATTTTCTCTTACTTAGCGCAAGTACAATTAACGGAGGGGGAGGGGGAAATGAACGATTTATTTTGATCGAGAAGGGAAAAAGTGTAAACTCAAAAACCGCGTTGATTAGGACAGTCTAGGCCGCCGTAAACTAAAGATGGTCCTGAAGCACAACGGGTTGTAAGAGTATTTTTCGGTTCAAATGTAGCTCGATGACCCTTATTTGCAAACCACAGTACCAAATTTACAGGGTACGCTCGAAAAAGGGGCAACTAGGCGTTTTTAGGCATTATGGGCACTTTATTGAGTGCTTTTCGGCGCAGTAGACAACTCGTCTTTTTCGGCTAAGTTTGAATCTTTTAGAGGAAAAACTGAGTTTATTCGACACATCCTTCCCTGCTATTCGGCTTAATGATGAAATTAGAATGAACCGTTCTGTGTGCAGATAACTTTGAAGAGTGCTACTTTAACTCGGCATCAGTTGCGGCGAGCGCAGTAAACCTCGTAAACTTGCCGTGTCAGCTGCGCGCCTGAATTTGTGGGCGTCGCATCGATAGAAATGCAAGCGGCGTGCCTTGCTTACTTAGCGGCCAACCATGCTCAATGACGTGCGGACGGCGCGGAACAATCGCGGTTTTTTACAGCTTAGCTGCGGCGCAGTGGCCGCATTCTCCGGACTTTCTGCGAAAATATGCAAAATTAGCTGATGACCCGGTCTCGCCCGAGACTTCAAGTTCAACCAAGATGGGATAGGGGAACGAAATCCGCCAGTTTGATAC